CAGTCGTTACACGAATTTCTGTAGAATTCTCTTTCAGTTTGCGCAGTGTTCAAGTGTTCCTGGTGAACCTTTACACACTCTGATTTTTTTCATCCGAGAGGTGGGCAGCTCGCTGTAGTTTTGTGGTGTTTTGTTGACAAGCTTTAAACAAAGATCCGTCATAGGTTTAGCGACTGCCACATCAGGATAAAACTCATCCCACAGCTGCAAGAATTTCCTGTAACTTACGGCTTTCTCATTTGAGGTCTTGCAAGTTCCTTCGTACTCTTTCCACATGCTCATTTTTGTCTCCGACGAAGATAAGAGTCTGATTTCTTCATTTTTAAATCCAGGAATCCTGCTAGCTAGGGAGCACAATGGCATTTTCTTCCACACAATTTTCAATAAGTGCATGGATTGCTTCGAGAGATTTTTCAGACATTGCATTTCCTGGCACACGTTTGGTGTTTCTGTGAATTGTTGGGAAAATTTCGTGCTCCTGATAATGTTCTTTTAATCTTCAAACCTGGAATAACCAATTCTGTACAAGTGTAAGAACATCTCCTTGCAAACGGGGCTCGTTTGGTAAATAAAACTACACTGAGGACTCCTGCTTCTTTTGTTGCCAACCTTTTCTCTCTTTGTGAATACTTGAATATTTGCCAGGATGATAAGGTCGAGTTCCGTGCTAGAAAGCTCAAGGCAGTTATTCAAATTGTAAAGAACCGTCTCCTCTGTAACTTGATCGGAACATGGGCGACCATTTAAACCAAGAGCACAACTGCAAGTTTCCTGCATGAATTTCTTCACCTTTTGTACAATCTGATCAGAGTTGTCAATTTCAAGCTCAGCCATTTTAGAATTGTCGTGTTGAATGATCTGTAACAACATTGATTGTCATAAGAACTGTTGCCATCATGGCAAAATGACAACAGTACTGCAGTCACACGCATGGCTGTGCATGTAACTAACAACAGCTGTGATCTTTTCCCTGCTAATAAGCACCAAATTTTTGTTTAGTAATTGTTTTCTTGACTAAAATAGACTCTTTGGCAAGAGCTTACCTAGTCAATACATAATATTGAAAAAAATTTGATATTGACTGCAATTTAATTTCTCCTTTTGAATGGATACATTGAGAATGGATGTTGAAACCGTTCGAACGGTTGTTGCAATTCTTTGAACGGACATTCTAGTTGGCGAACAGATGCAATAACTGTACAAACGGACGTCAGACCCATTTGAACGGATGCGAGAACCGTTCGAACGGATGTTGCAATTAACTTTGAATGGACGTCAGAACCGTTCGAATGGATACGCAAAACATTCGAACCGGTAACAAATGGATAACGAGTGGTTAACCTTTTGGAACGGATAACCATTAGTGTCCGTTTTGCCTTTCAGGGTCACATGTATTCAATGTATAATTGTAAGAAAAAGTTTAACGAACCTTTGAAGATGTAATAATGGTTACGCAGTAGAGTCTGAAGTCCGCCACATTCATTCTTGAGTTGAAGCAAAGTACTTCCTCCAAACAACATTGCTACTTCAGAAAGTTGCAGTTCACCTGACAGACATAATGCCACAGTTTACCACAGTGCGAGATATGCTTGACACTGTTAGCCCAAAGGAAGAATGACAAATGTAGTGCACTGACTTGCCGCAGCTACAATCTACAATCCCGGCCAAAAGTCCTTGGGACAAAATGACAACAGGTGACACATTATTGTGAAGTGGGAAGTCATTATTTAATTTGCCAAACCCCGCTCCCCCTCAAAACAATGTTGCAATAGTGGGTCTATTTTGGATGAATCAACATCAACATTGTGCTCGGGGTGGGGATGGGGAGGTGGACAGAAAGACCATATGCTGGCAAAAGTGCAAAGTGTCCCTAGACTTTTGACCAGGATTGTAGCTTTAAAAAAAGCATGTAGCTCTTTAGTATCAAAGTCAAACAATGTCATCAGTTTATATATAGGGTCCACATGCAGCAGATTACTTTCACGTCGCAACTGTACATTTGAGATTTACACCAGAACTCTAGGAAAATAAAAGTGAAGACAAGTAACAGTAATCCACAGTTGCTCTGTAAACTACACTGTTTTATCACTTTAAAACTGCATGTCTTCTTCCTGTTCTATTGTTACTCTTTCTTAGCTTCTGGCTTTCCTTTAACATGAGGAACAGAGGAAGAAACGTAGCGAGAGACTTCCGTCAGCAAGAATATGTAGAGAGACAACAGGCTGCTAGCACAGCTCCAACCCACAGTTCAGATGTCCCATCTGTCTACGAATTTGCCTCTTACTGCTCAGTCATCAACTGAGCACTACCAAGTAGACATCTAACTCAATATCAAGAGATTGCCAAGGACAATAACAACAATGACTTTAACAGGTGAAGTCAAAGAGCTGCTAAGATATAGTTACTTTCTGCTCGGCTTTAATAATGATGATCTTAGTGTTTGTTAGCCTGTGAGCAGGCTCCCATGTGTTGCGGCAGGAGCAAAGTGGAAAGTTGCGAGAGACGCTTCAGCCGACTCTCGCTTTGTTCATCGACAGCTTTGCTCATTTGTTCATACTACCAACGATATTAGAGCCTGCTTGCAGGCTAAGTCTTAAGTTTGTGCGTGAAGACCCCTGTGAGACATGTGAAGCAACAACCATCCTTGCGTTGAGCTCTATTTGTGCAGCATGTCCCTCGCCCTATGTGCACCAAACTATTAATTAGTCATTGATTACAGGTGAATCATGTATTAACATATGAGAGGAATTCAACTTAAAACTTTTCTACAGGTGAGGGGTTTTAACTGATACTGCCTGTATTACTAAGTGTACTAACAAACGTGGAGTCCAGATGTGCATTGTTAAAGTTAAGAAACAAGACAATCTTTACCTCCTTTTCGCCATTTGGAAGCACAAGCTGCAGAACTTGGAGTCCATTTGTCTACCTCTAAAGTAGTGTGTGAAATGTTTGCTGACTTGTCACTTTTAAGAGGCAAGTCCAATAATTTTCTTGCCACAGTATTGACAATAAGGTCTTTCAGTGATCTATCCAAGGCTGTACAGTTTCTCATTGATTCCTTAGATGGACGAGGCTGGAAAGTGGAGGATGATACTTGAGAAGGACAAGTATTTGAATAACACCCAGTCTTACAACTCAAATTGTCATCATTGACGCTTCTGTGTTGCTGAAGCTCATCTTCATGAATATCAATGCTGTTCCTCTCCTTGTGGTCACTAGATGTAAGATGATGTTGTTCAAGCAAACCACTTTCTTCCACAGATTGTTTGCCAATTCTGTTAAATGGCGTTTGCAAATTAGGATTGTCCCTTTCCTTTATTAACGTCTCAGGTACATTTCCGCCAGCAATATCACAACCTCTTCTTAGTATCATTCCCTTTATTAGTCTCTCCCTTGCTTCGGCATTCTCCTCAGGAAATGTCCTAAGCCTTCCCATCTGACAGATCTATGAATGACAGAATTTCCAGAATTGCATTAGCAATGCAACCTAGCACAAAATTAAGACCATAAGCGAGCCTGCTATGAAAAAACTAATCAGTGTATAAACAAGTGACAACCACACCCCTAAAAAAGTGTACATTTTGCAAAAAAGGGGTGGTGAACGGTAAATGCGAGAAGAAGTAGTGTTTTTCTTTGCGAGCCTGAGACATTTTGACTTTTTAAATTACGAGACCGAGACTCACAGTGTTTTAAATCCGAGTTTGAGACATTCAGATCTAAATCGTTGGATGACCGGACATTTTGTGCAGTTGTTTACACCTCAAAGGAAAATTTGATTCAGAGCTTAAGTTCTAAATTAAGTTGTACATTACTCATGTTTGAGAAAGAAAAAAAAAGAAAGCAAACGAAAGACACAACCAGACCACCTTTGACTTCAGTAAAATTGCAAGTAGTTGCAACCTGTCAGGACTGCAAACAAGCAGGTCTTCCAGCTTAACGTGTCTATCGGTGTGTTTGCTAATATAGTCAAATTTCCACTAATGGCTAACTCTTTTCAACTGCCACTGACACCTTTTTAAATCCCAGCAGGCAGTCTATACATTCACTCTTATTTTAGGATGTGTCAAAAACGAAGACCGAAGACCTAAGACCCTGTGGTCTAAAACGAAGACTCTGTGGTCTAAACTGAAGACCCACTGTTCTAAAACGAAGACCCACCGGTCTAAAACGAAGACCCACCGGTCTAAAACGAAGACCCACCGGTCTAAAACGAAGACCCACTGGTCTAAAACGAAAACCCACTTGTCTAAAACGAAGACCCACCGGTCTAAAACGAAGACCCACTGGTCTAAAATGAAGACCTACTGGTCTAAAACGAAGACCCACCGGTCTAAAACGAAGACCCACTGGTCTAAAACGAATTCTTGTAGCACATGGTGAATAAATTTGCGAGTCACACACAGTTGACCTTTGCGCCTTTATATGATAAGGACAGTAAAGCAAAGTAATGAAGTCACCTTATCGTAATTTGCTCATATGCATTTGAAAAATAGAATATTGGTGACAACAAAATATACTAAAATCGTCACTAACACGTACATGTATATTTCTATACTGTTCAAATTTAATTGCATTACAAAATTTGACACATGTTGTACCGGCTGAGATAAAGTAACTATCAAGTTTGTCGCATGCTCAGATGACATTTTAATTTATGCGCTACAGAAGTGAGGAATGCATGTGAGAGTGATTACGTAATTTTCCTGGGAAAATCAAATTCTTGTAGCATGTGGTGAATAAATTTGCGAGTCACGCACAGTTGACCTTTGTGCCTTTATATGATAAGGACAGTAAAGCAAAGTAATGAAGTCATCTCATCATAATTTGCTCATAAATTATGCATTTGAAAAATAGAATATTGGTGACGAAAAATTATACTAAAATCGCCATTTAAAAACGTATATTTCTACACTGTTGGAATTTTATTGCATTACACAATTTGACACGTTGTACCGACTGAGATAAAGCAACTGTCAAGTTTGCCGCATGTTCAGATGACATTTTAATTCATGCTCTACAGAAATGAAAGCAATTTAGCCTAGTGTAGAGTCTTTACTGAAGAAAAAAAGGTTTTAGACTGGTGGGTCTTCGTTTTAGACCGGCGGGTCTTCGTTTTAGACCGGTGGGTCTTCGTTTTAGACCGGTGGGTCTTTGTTTTAGACCGGTGGGTCTTCATTTTAGACCAGTGGGTCTTCGTTTTAGACTGGTGGGTCTTCGTTTTAGACCGGTGGGTCTTCGTTTTAGACCAGTGGGTCTTCGTTTTAGACCACAAGGTCTTAGGTCTTTGGTCTTCGTTTTTGGGTCTTCGTTTTCGACACATCCCTTATTTTAACTTCTCTACAATGGCCACCACTTCACAATGGCAACAGCCACTAAAATGCATCCAAACTACTAAAAATAACCTCTCGACAATGCCAGTTAATCAATGACTGACAAATGATGTATTCAAAACCTCACTTTTTAGCATGTCGGTAGTCTCTGTTTCTGTTTGGTTTCGGTTTATAGATATCTTTTGATAGTGTTATGTAATTACATGCTAAAACAAGCGTTTTTAGATTTAGAGATAACAGTGTTGCACCCTCCCCAAAAAAGGTGTCGTTTTACACCTCTACTTCCCCATAACGACCACCTCTCTACAACAGCCACTATTCTGTCTCCAAGGTGGCCATTTTGGGGAAGTTTACTTTAATCCTTATTGACCGCGTGGAATTTGCCGCTAACTAACGTTGTGACCCAAATTGTGGGAAGCGAAACAGATGTCTCTTAAAGTATCTGGTACAAAAGTCCAGGCTACTCTGTAATACAAATTCAAACCAAACATGTATTTTAAAACTTTAAGGCCTTTAAGGTGAAATTAAAAATAACAATTAAGTTTGCTTGTTAATTCCTGTGTGAATCAATAAGCTTGAATAACAATTGAATAGTAGAAGCAATAGCAAGCGATAGTGGGAAGCAAAGTGTAATTACATGTATATAATTTTACCGAACATTGCCGCTGTGCGGTGTACTCTTTACTTTTTGCACTGAATATGAACTACTTGTTCAATAAGAAGTCACTAAATGTACTTGCTTGATATTTAAGCATCATGCTAAGGGGGGAGAGGCACTTTTTAACGAATTATGACGTTAAATACATATTTGTCTGACCAAAATTGTTTCTTGTTCCAACAAAAATAGATTTGACTGGACAACTTGACCAGTGGCAGCTGGGATATCATTTCAAGCCCAGGTTATGAAACAAACAAACTGGGACTTAGACTTATTATTCTTTCAAATAGTCAAAGTCTTAAAAAGTAATTTTTCCATGAGTCAACTTAAAGAGGTTTTAAAAACGTGTCTGCGGTTTGCCATATTCAATTTCAGAGAAAAGTTTGGCATTGTTTGCCAGCAGATTTTACGACAAAAAAAGAACATTTCAACTTACCCGCAGAAAGACAAAAAAAAAAAAAAAAAAAAAATAATAATAATTTTACTCATTTTAATTTCGAGAGCCCCTATATTAATTCTTCATCGCATTTTGTGTTTCTATATCCCGGACACTTGCTTTTTGGGCTCATGCATATGGCTTATAATCAAGCAATTTTATCAGAAGACATCGGTGACAATTTAATAATTGCAGAGATCGGAGAAGAAAGTTTCTCAGATAGAGAATGACGTATCGTGAGAGAGAAACGATTATCCTTGTTTTATTACTTTTTCTTTGTGTTTCACTACCTTAAAGGTAACGTCTGCATGCGAG